CTAACGAGTTAACAAAACTTAAATTCTGCTTTTTGTGTCTAAGAATACAACATTATTATAAATATTTACAAATAAAATATTAAATTGGAGATTTAAATGGAGCCTCACCAGTTGGCCTAGCATTTGAAAAAGAAAAATTGCTAAATACTAAGTGTTTGCTGCGAAGTTTAACCGAGGCTGCATGGTTGGTTTTCGTAGTTTTCTACGGTTCTCTTTTACAAAGTTCCTCTATAAAAGCATCTTAATCCAAATAGGTCCCATGTTCTTTCTATGTCCAAATAACCAATTAACCTAATTTAAGTGCGATTTCCAAGTTGAAGTTACTAGAAAAAGCCGAACACTCATTAAAATCATGTAGCTAGCCATCGGAGTACATGAAGATACGAAACCAATATTGAAATGCTGTTAGGTACGTGTTTCTTAACTTAGATGGGTCATTCCTAATTAATAGCCCACCAACGGCCGAGCGGTAAAGACGATGAACACTGGTAGTTCAGTTCGAGTTTCGAATCCCGCGAACGGGCTGGCGCATGGGCGGTTTCGTGTTTTCCCCATGTGTAACGTGTATACGAGCCAGTTTCCCTTAGAAAAGTCCTCCCGAGGCATACCTCCCTTAGGCAGATAGCCCCTCGTGTGCTTTGCCATAATTAAATAATCCAATCCAATCCTTAATTAAATATAATTGATTTGTAATTCTACTAGACTGACGTAAAATTGAAGTGGAAATAGTAATAGGGTGTGCAATCTTGATTAATAAACTTTAAAATTTTGCATAGAAAAATGTTTTGCATTCAGACAGAAGTTTTTTAAATATTTGCAATTACTTTTATAAGAAGGATTATTAATAACCCTATAATTACTTATTATATTACTGATGATTAGGATTCAGTTCTTGACAATTACATTCTAAATTAGAATTTAAGGATATAAATGAAAATACGCTACGCACAAAAATACTTTAGGAAAAAATTGATTTTTTTATGTTTTAAACATTTTAAATTCATTTAGTAAACATCGTATCCTCGTTGTTATTGAATCCAGAATGTTGGTGTCGTTATATAATTATCTTACTTGTCCACAGAATCTGCTGACTTATCCAGCCATTAAGTAGCTGCAGATCATTTCTACATAACCATTGAACTTCCATTAATTCGTCTCTAGAGGGTTGTATGTTTATATCATAATTTGACTTTTATAAAAATGATTATCTAAATCTTATGTTTTCTATAAAATATTTGTGCTTTAAAAATATGGATATAGTATCAGCCGCTCTTTCAGCCACTTCAAAAGCAACAGTTTTTTTTAGAAATAATTATGCAGTTAATTCATAAAATTCAAATAAATATCAACGAAAATTCTCAGTTTTTAGACAATTCGATTAATAAACGAATAAAGTAGCAGACGATAAAACGCCGAAGGTAAAAATTACTCTTTCAAAACTTACTCTTAATTTTTTAAAAAAGAAAAGATACGAGAAATTAAAAAAAAAAAAAGTTAAAAATTTTAATAATATCATCTATAATTTAAAAAAAATACCTTTCATATAGTATTAATAATATTTATTACGCAATCATTGAGGGCAAAAAATGTCATATAATTAATTATCCGTAAATTTTACTTGAAGATTAAGGTTAAAAATAGCTGTGGCATTCATGTACAAAATCTATAGACCACATTTGGCGTTATTATTGCTCAAAAAAAGTGCCAAATTTCAAAACGCGAATTATGTAAATTCGTGTATATCTTAGAAAATTTTGAATAAAATGTCTAATTTTTTTGCAGATGCTTAAAATACAACCTACTTTAAGATGATGGTAAAAATTATAGGTTTAATTCAAAATTTTTTTTTCGAAAAATTATAGAAATTATTTAAAAATGAAATTAAAAAATAATCAAAAAATGGGTAAATTTTAATTTGGAATGAACAAATTTCGAAATGTAGAGAAAATCAAAAAGGTTAATAAAAAAAAGAGATATTAATAAATATTTGCAAATTCAATTACATTGAGGAGCTAAAATTTTGAGAGCTAATATTTAAAAACTATTCGTACGAGTTTTACAAAACTTGTATCTGGCATAATTTGAGTCGTAGAATCGAAATATGTAAAAAAATTGGTATGTTATTTCAGAAAAAGTCCGATTTTGTGTCAAAATACCTATGTTAGAATAGTACTATATATAAATCTAATATATATCCTAAGTCGCGCTTTCGAGACATGAAAAACGTAGTTTGAATTTTGTCAATCGGCCCAGTAGAACGGGAGATATAGCACTGTCCCATTTTTTTTTTTTTTTTTTTTTTTTTTTTTTTTTTTTTTTTTTTGAGCAGTGTACCTCATCTTTTGCTATAGTTATCTACGTCCTCTATCAATGTGACCACATCCCTTCATATTCTTGCTAAACCAGACAAATATTCGTATCATCAATGTTTCTAGTCTTAACGCTAGTTCCTTAAATCTTCAAAAGTTAGCGAAAACGTCTTAGTAAGACAAATTTACACGATAAAAGGAAGTCCGGGCTACTCATATGGAGCAAAAATAATGCTGATAGTTTCTTAGAAGTTATACAATCATTAAAAGTTTTCTTTATTATTAATTTGGATTCGCAGCAACTTCGGCATATTGTTTTATTTTACTGTATCAGCTCCACATCAACTAGTTGTTTCATAATCTCGAACACAGAACAAGGTCGACAAAACCTTGGAAAGAATTTCTTTTCGGTTTCAGTTTGTGGATGCAAAGCAGTACGGGACTGACGAGGGACAAAGAATACTTCTGGCACATGAATGTGCATTCGACACAGAGTAAGGCAACTTTCTGAAAGTTTTTATCATATTTTTTATTCATTATTATTAAATCCCAAACCCCTTGCACTCAATTTTATTAATCACCGGGTAAAAGTATCAGAATTAAAAATGTTAAGTAGAATTATTAACGTAGTACCTGTAACCATTAAAACTGGGAGGGTACTTACGTATTATCGGTCGCCAAGCAGTTCCATTTTGTGCCAAATACAGATAAGCGCGATTTCACAACACAATCATAATATCTGCGCTTTCGTTTAATGTAAACCTGATTGATTTTCAGTAACACACCTTTTGTATTTATGAACAAGGCTATAATTTAACTGTTACTGCTGCATTTTTTCCTTGCATTTTGAAATGACTTAGTCGGAGGAGTGTAGAATCACATTTGTGATTGCACTCAGGTTCATTTACAGTTGATTGATAGAAAATTAACATATGTTTAATGGGAAGAACAGTTGGAATAGGTTTGTAATCATAGCGTTCTATACAAAGCTTGCGGTAAAATCGAAGAGCCTTTCAAAATAGTATTTAGAAATCCAGGAAATATTTTTAACGAAGCGAGTCAAATACTTCAGTTGCAGTGGCTATTTGGTGGATTGCCCTGAGAGACTGACGAGTGTTTTCTTGCAAGAGTTGCAGATAAGAGTACGGAGCAGTGTTGCCAGAAAATTTTCAACTAAAGTAACAAAAGTTGACTAAAAATGTAGCAAAAAAATCACAAATCAGGGAAGGCCCACCAGCGGCCGAGCGGTAAAGTCGCTGAACACTGGTAGTTCGGTCCGAGGTTCGAATCCCGCGAACGGGCTGGCTGCATGGGCGTTTTCGTGGTTTTCTCCATGTTACGTGTACGACATTTTCCCTTAGAAATCCCCACGAAGGCATCCCTCCTCTTAGCAGATAGCCCAGTGTGCTTGGCCATAATTAAATACACCACCACCCACCACAATCAGGGATTTTTGACGTCATATTACGCAGACTCACATACCTTACGTCATCACAAATTTTATCGTCTATTGTTTCGTAGTTAGAGACTGTATTCGATTTTAGTCTTTATACATGTCTGAGGTTCAACGACCTTTTTAAACAATATATTGCTCTTTTCTTGTTTTAATATCTTTTTCTTTTTATAATTCTCATTTATTAGTTTCAATTTTTTAAATGAGCAGATTCGATTCTTAGAGATTTCTCACGTTTAGATGTTAGCCTTTTATAAACCTTTTTTGTTGGCATTAATTTTTTTTTAATTGATGTTTTTTTTTTTTTTTTTTTTTTTTTTTTGCTTAATAGTGAACATTTTTATTGAGAAATGCTTTTCAGTGAGTTTTTCCGTTCTGTGTGGGGGATCTGTTTCAGATTCTGATTACTTAAGAAAGCCTTGTTCTTTTACTGTTAAATTTATGTTTGTATTTTTGTTGCTATTTAAAATAACGGCGTTGCTTTGATTTTCAAGTCATTTCCATTGCCTAGTTCTTAGCAATATTACAATCAGGAGTATGAATTTAAATTATTTCTCTGTTTGAGTACCTAATATATGGCGTGCAAACTGCAAGTTCTTTGGTTCGATTCGTTATCACCTTAGAACTGGGAGGGGAGAACTGACTTAAAAAAAAAAAAAAAAATGCACGGGGGGACGAGGGAGGTCCCGAAGCAATTTTGTTTTCTTTCTTTTTACTTTTTTCACTTCCCTTAGCCTTTTTTCGTTATACCGGCATCAGGCTGCTCAGCCTTGAAAAGGAAAGCCCACAACTAAATAAGATTGAAAGATGTCAACTTCTGTTTAAATAAACTATTTTTTCACATAATTTTATATTTAATTGATAAATTTTTTTAAAATGAAAGCATTTTACGATAAATTAAAAAAAATCTTTGAAGTCGCAAAAAGTAGCATAAGAAAATGATGGATGTCGCAAAAATTTCGCAAATTGCAAATACTAAACTTTTAGTAGCACAAGTTTGTCAGAAGTCGCAAATTTTCGCAAAATCGCACGATCTGGTAACACTGGTGCGGCTCAGAACGATTAAACAATTTTGGGGGATCATCGCCAACTTTCCTGATTCGATATTAACCAAGTTTGACGGTCAACGAGATAATTTATTAATACCAAATTTAGATTAAACTTTGGTACGGCAATTTAAGTATAATTTTACAATAAAATCGCTAAAACAATAAAATAAAAATAAAATATGTACATACTTCTGCAGAATAATCGAACCGTCCAAAAAGGTCGTTCAGAGTTTCTACCAAATCAGATACCTTAAGGCTTGCACCCAAAAGCATAGAATTCACGATATCAGCATATAATACGCTATGGGAAAAAGTAATTTATTATTCTAAAATTCAACTCTTTAGTAGCAACTTTTAAAAACTAAAATGAGCTTACAATATATAAAGTAAATATTGATATACAAATAGTAACAGCTTTCATTACACATTCTAAACACCATAGAAAGGGTGTTTGCACGTTTTTAGAACGTTTTCGATAAAGAATTAAAAAAAAGAAAGCAAATGTTTTGAAATAAAAAAATTGTTAACAGCTCATTATTTGCAAGAGAAATATAGTCTGTTATTTTTTGATTTATCCTTCTTTCAAAATGTAGCGAGTAAATAACCTGTGGATGGAAGGATATGTATTTAATATTTCCGAAGCGACTCGAAACGAATACCGGAAAAAGGTTTATAATTTTCCTATTGTTTTTATATCGTTGTAAGATAAAATATGCTAGCTTAGAAATCAATTGCAAAGCTTTTAAATACGTTTGTAGGAGCAATAGATAAAATAATGAACAAATATTGTGGGGAAAGGCAACGACCATAGTTGATAACACACATTTATTACTATTTACAAATATAGATTACATTAGGATACAAAAATTAAAATGGTATACGACGATCGAGCGAGTCTGCTCTCTCGCCAGCAATCTCGCTTCTCCCGAAGGCGGGAAACACATGCTGACGCAATGCATACGTCACACAGTAGGGGATTAAGGAATATCATGACATAACATTTCCCACAATATTTATAACTTAGAAAAGCTAAAAAACATAATGAGCACCAGATTTAGCCGACACATATGGCTCAAAGCAGAATAATTTGTTGAATCCTGTAAGATAAACGATTTAGCGGGAGGTAAATGGAAGCACATCGCGACCCTTAATGAAGCATCGGTTTAACCCTAAATGACTGCAACAAAAAAGTCTATTATCGAAAACGAAGAGAAAAAAATATACAAACCTGGTTCATCAATTAAAAGAACGTTTCAGTAAGGGGTTTATGATTGTCGCAAGATTCTCTTACATTGCGAAAACAATTTACTCCGATATTTAGAGATGAAATTCCATTTCATTATCGCAATAACTTTCAAAGAGTGAAACATCAATACAAACCAGCAAATCGTACTTCGAAAAGTAGCCCTGCATTCCTTGCGAAAATCTGAGACAGGCATTGCGCTTTTCTTTTCAAATGTATTCTTGCTAAGTCTCTGGCATTTCACCTATGAGCTATTGTACCTTTGGTCTCTTGTACAGAGCTCTTTTTAAACGCAAATCCACCATGATTGATGGACTCTGGAAAGTAGTGGAAGAGGAATGGAAATCGATATTCCTAAAAGTTTTACAAAAGACCTTCAGTGATGGCTATCACAATGAAGACTAACAATCCAAAAGAAAGGATATCAGATCAAACGTTTAAAAAGCACTGTTTACATTTTAAACATTAATTGAACAACCCCGAAATCATTTTTTAAATTAACCATTTTTAAAAATGTGTAAGCACCCTCCGTATTTTTTAGTTTGAATGCATTTAATACTGTATATTATAAAACAGTTTTAAAAAATTTGCAAGTAAACAAACTTACTTTTCAATTGAATTTCCTTTAAATGCAAGTTTTAATCATTAAATAAAGATTTTTGGATGCATTTAAAACTAAAACACTTGCATTTTTCTCGAAAAACCTTTTGAAATTTTTCTGCACTGTTCTTCCCATATACACATTGATCTGTTTCCACTTAAAAAACATCAGAGAATTGTACCTAACTCGTCACTGAGCAACAACTATCTAACAAACATATCTCATCATTATTCTCTTTACCGATTTTGAGATAAAATACAACTAATAAGCTACTGGACCTTATTTTAAAATTTAGGCTTTTAAAAAATGGAAAGAAGCATGTGTTATCTGAAATTAATACTGCCATGAAAATAATTTTGGGTACTTTCCTACTAGCAGTGCCACCTCAGAAAATTAACAAAGTCCTAAGGTAAACAGATGTAATAGCTTCTTTTAATATATGCACTTCAAGGTCATTGCCACTCTCCATTTGCGATCATAACTCGTGTCGTTATTACCGCCCAACATTTATTTTTCCCGCGCTATCCGAAACTGCAGTTCAAGTCAGCCAGCCTTCATTATGGAGCTTATCATAAAGCGAAAAACGCTAAAATGAATTAAATAGTGAAAAAAATCAAGCGAATCTTTTTTTTTTTTTTTTTTTCTCTCTATAGTTGTTGTTTCCATAGTTACGACGGTGGACGGTGTAAAATAGCCTTGAAGTTCCTATTTTAAAGTAACAGACTGAAGTCTGTAAACCAGATTTACTTATCTTTTAAAAAAAATAGCTCTAGTGTTCGAAATGGTTAACAAAAACTTGAAAATGGAAACAAGAAAATTTCTTTAAGATGTTAAAAGAGCTATTATATCATACGTCCAACATTAATCCCATATGTATGTTACCGGCAGTGTATGAGTATGTAATACCATATACATGTTACCGCATTTTATAGAATATTTAAGTCTAGAATATCTGACAATTTTAGGCAAAGTATGAAATAGAAGCATTACTATATACTTCACCTAAAACAGTGGTTCTCAACCTTTTGACTAATGCGTACCATGTAAGCAAAAATTGAAAACCTTTAGGACCACCACTTACAAAGTACTACCACCACCACCACTCTTGAACAAAGCTCAGATCGCATAAATTTACGAGTGTTAGAGAAAAAAACTCCATCAGGATGTTGGGGTTTTAATTTTTGAATTCAATAGTTAAAAATACTTTGCTTCTTTGCCGTACCACCTATTTTTCTCTTGCGTACCACAAGTGGTACACATACCACCGGTTGAGAACCCCTGACCTAAAGTATTGCATATAATATATAGGCATTCGACAGAAAGATAAATATGTTTAGGCAAAGCATGAAAAATGGTCATGATGAGGCTAAAAAGTGTGCGTTTTCCTTAAAAATACAAATTTTGTTTTGAAAATAAAGGAAAGAGTACCATTAAAAATCTTTTATTCAAAATACATAAAGAAGAATGAAAGTTATACAAAATTAATGTCGTTTTCATTTAAGAATGCAAAGCATGACAATTTATGAAATGTATGGAATTAGGGAAAGAATGCATTAAACATATGTATTACATATGAACGATACAGATATTGGAAACAAATCAAAAATGTATTTCCTACTCCCCCGGTTTGTCGAAATCGGAATTTATTTCCTGTTTTGCCGGTTTCCTAGGCATTCTATATATTCCTAGGAAATGTGAGAAATATTAATCGTTTCATACACTGCCAGCCGGTTTTCGGCATTTTATAAAATGCCTAGGTATTCTATAGAATACCGGCATATCATACATTTTCGGTAGTAGGCAAATCGAAAATGTATTTCATATTTTATCAATCTGTCAATTGGCTCCCTAGAATGGCTTTCAAAATATATAAAATGTTAATCTTTTACTACGCTGGCGGGCAATTTTCGGCACTCTATAAAATGCCTAGGTATTCTGTAGAATGCCAGGGTTTCATATTTTGCCGGTAACAGACGAGTCGGAAATGTATTTCATGCTCTGCTGGTGTCACTTGATATTTTATGAAATGCTTAGGAAATGTTAATCGTTTCATACATTGCAGGCCAGTTTTCGGCATTCTATAAAATGGTTAGGTATATGATAGAATGCTGGTTTTCATACACTGCCGATAACATTTCCAATGTTACGAGTCAAATCGGGCATTGAAAGTCACCTTAAATTTTCTGTTTTAAAATAGCAGACTATATTTTATATACTTTCTTTAAAGAATAGCGGTAATGTTCGAAGTACATGTCTTAAACCTCAAAAAGAAAAGAGCAATATTCGTTTGAGTTGTTAAAAAACTATTATATCATATCAGTCCGAGATTTAAACCTTAAAATAATATTAAACGCAAAACACATACTATAGATACAATAACCTAGAGAAAAAAAAAAAAAAAAAAAAAAAAAAAAAAACGTGCTTGCGACGCAGTTTTAGCTTCTAGAATCGGGAATACGCCTTAGCAAGTCTGATGTCTTATAAATAAATGCAGCGATGGTAGTGCACTAAACTGCAGTTTTCTAAATTGAAGTTTTATAAATCATATGCTGAATAACATAGGCAGAAATAAATAAGCAAGTAAATACAGCAAAGCATAGTTTAATATAGTTCAGTAATTTAAATATGTTAGTTTTCTTCAAGACTAATAGGACAGAATATTGTTTTTGAACAAAGCTTTAAAGCTTACTCAAGTCATGAAACGCATGCTGGTATGACGAATTGTATTTGATTACTTGCTTATTATATGTGGTTGATACTAAGAGTTACAAATTTATTTGTGATTTCTTTGTGAACATTCCAATTAACTACAAAATTTAGTTAATTGATTTATAAAGTATTTCCAAAAGTTCAAGTGCTAACGTTTTCGTTTGCCTACAAGTTTTCCTCTGCACGCCAAGGAAACACCAGCTGCAGCGAAACCCTCATATGTAGAAGTCCAAAGAATGTACTTAAAATAAGATCTTGCTTGTATATTCTAGTTTTGAGTATTTGCTGTCAAAGAAAACATTCTATCTGAATAAATTTGAAACGATATTTTACTGACTTTTGCAAAAGGAAATAAAAAATTAAAATAACTGAATTACATGATTTGAATCTTTTTAATTTTTATTTATTATTTAATTGCACGGTGTAAATTGACTTAAGGCTTTCACGCAAATTTTCAGGTTCCCGAAAAAATATTAAATTCACTTTAATTGCCTCGAGCACACTGCTAACGACAGATGATTTAGGGTATTTATTACTTAGCACTTTTGTAACATTATAAAAGGATCTCCAAATTTAGCAAGAAATATTCTTCAGAAAGTTAGAATTTCCAGTACGTTGTTTAAAAAAATAAGCTGTAATTAATAATAAATAAAAAATAAGTCTTCTTATGCTGACCAATTCTTACGGATATTTCACTTATTAGCCCAAAGGAGGGTTAGCATAGAAAGGCTATTAGTTTCGAAACGGCATTTTGCGTTGAATCAACTCTAAAAGTCTGAATCTTTTTTAAAAATGTTGCCACCGAATATTATCGTCCTGTATTATATTTAAAGGAATTAAATAATGAAAAATCTGGTAAAGTAGCTCTTTAGATTTGTCCCTCAAGTTGAGCGATTCTTACAGCAACGTTCAAATGATAGTAAAATGGCGGTCAGAATTTCGTTTTTAATTCCAAAATATTTTCAGAGACTTTATATAATATATGAAAGTCAAATAAATTTTCATACCTAACATCCTTATGCTTTTCCACATAGAGTTTGTTAAATGGTTTATGAGTCATATGTAGTCGATTCATGTTTTTGATCACCTTTCGGATGTCCTCACGCACCTCGCTTGCTATATGATGGGGCAAAATACTTTGCAAGAACTTTTCCTGAAAATATTAATTTCAAATTATGCAAATAGCGTACAAAATTGCATAAGTCAGATAAAATGAAAAATTAAGATATTTTTTATGCTTTTATGAGCTATTTCAGTTAAAAAGAAAATGTATATAGCTTTTGTTTTTTACATTTTGAGCATTTATGGAAGGTTCTAATCCATAAATTTATTTGACGTTTAAAATTATTTAAAAAAATCAAGTACTTTTTAAATAGTATACTTAAATCAAAAACAAGGGATTGATTAACTTTGCTATAGTAAAGCCTCGCCGAACGAACGAGTATTTAAAGAACATGATTTAGCTTATATGAATTATCGTTTTCGTTTCCATTTAATTTGTCTAACGCTAGAATTTCATTCGCATGCAATTCAATATTTCTTCATCAGCTATGAATGCTTGCTGGCCTCAGCTCTAGCCAGAAGTTATCAACAGTTTTAAAGTGTTTTCATTGACTGAAAATGAATCAAAAGAAATCATACAAATTTGCAAAAGCAGCTGATAGGAAAGGATTTTCATATATGGATGAAGAAGAAGTGAACGGATTGATCGAGAAATGGAGATCAAGAAATGACGAATGAAGGATTGAGTGATCTTCTAAAGCAGCCGACAAAGAAAGTAGTGATAGTAGTAGTAATAATAATAATAATAATAATAATAATAAAGATAAAGCGCTTCTGACTTGTAAGAAGTAGGTGAATTGTTAAAAAAGACACGGAAACTGTTTGATTCTGCAGTGGAGATTCAACCAAATGGAGAAAGAAGAGGACACTTTAAGCTCTGAAAACCTCTCGCTCCTTGCCGCGAAACTATGAAAGAGTTATCGCAAGCAAAAATGAACAACTTTTAAAAAGAATAATTGATATACTTATTAAGCAATAATAAAACCCCTTTCAATGAATATTTATTTCATTTCTCTCTTTTAATTACAACATTACTCAGTTTAAAATCATACATACTTTCTTAATCTGAATTAGAATTAACACATTTTGCCATAGAAAGTTAACTTCGCGAAAAGCGATTTTGCCGTATGTACAATGTGTTAACGACGTAACCCTCGCGTTCGTCAAGAATTTACTATATTTTAAATTAGATACATTTACTTTCGTAATTGCAGATCCACATGCGACTTATAGGTAACGTAATCAAGTACCGGTAGTTCGCTCCAGGTTCATATCTCGGCAGATGGGATTGGTTGCATGGAACTTTCCAGGGATTTCCCAATGGACATCCCATAACATCCAATCAATATCCAATGGACATCCAATCCCATAACATGGATATGAACCAATTTACCTCTCGATTTATATCTTCTGCAATTTACCTCAAAGGATTTCAAGAAGACATCTCTTTTCCTAAGCAAAAAGCCCTCAAGTACTTTGCCGTAACCCAAATAGAGTGTACTGTCGATTATCCGGTCTAATGCCAGTGACGCATGTCATGGATAACTAAAAAACACGAATCATCCAAACTATCAATTTTTTGCATATTGTATGTGTTTATTTCTTAAAAAGATTAGTAATTTTACTTTTGTTTTATAACTTTTAAATATTTGTCGAATTTCATTGCGTACTATTTTATCATTCCATCCGAATCCCCTTGGTCGAAGAGTTTTAAGAGGTTGAAGTCCATTAGAACTTTAACAGAAGTCACTGTTGTCTCGGAACTAGTGCCAATTGTCCGTACCCACTTCGCTTGTATTTTCAGTCTCACTCTCTGCCTCTTATGTTCTTGTGACATTTAAAACGGTATTTATTAGCAGAAATCATTCACTGAAAGTCCGGCTCATACGAATCGCCCTCCAACCATTCCTCGATGTTTTCCCGACCAACATTTATGTAAATATGATAATTACGTAAGCTCCCAGTGATCAACAGAAATGATGCCTTCGACTATGCCCACGGAAGAACGAACTGTATAAGGAAATCACTGAAACTAAACCACAAAAACGCAATTTAGCTGTTTTCAGCGCATATTCGGACTTGCGAGTGTTTGTTTTTTTTCACGCTCTAGACTCTAGAGCATGGCGTTGAATGTGCGTGCGTGGGCAGTGCCACACCGGATAATCGGCACCCGGAAGTTTGAGAGTACTCTGTAATACAATCCAAACCAAGAGAAAAATGTAATGTAAAATGTATGAAAACAGGTGCATGTATAAATGCTGACATCTACAATAGCTTATTTCTCTATCATTTTAGAAAAATTTTAAAAAAGAATACAACTGTTTAAATGGTCCCTTCCTTTTCGATTCCATGCTATGGAGTACTTTCCGTTAAAATTGCGATAGCTTAACCCAATAGTCTTCGTGAGTTTTGTCTGGATAAGTAATATAATTCTATGCAAGTAAAACAAATAATTTGACACATCAAGACTGTTGTAGTATTTTAAGAAGGGTAGAATCTCTGAACATTCAAAGAAAAAACTGTGACCTGCGCGCTTTAAAACCGGTGTTTTTGTGATGATACGCACCGTTTATTTAAAATTTTGTTTATATTTGCGGGCTACTTCACAGTCTGCTATTTTTTTTTTTTTTTTTTTTTTTTTTTTTATTTGCAGTAAATATTTTTTTAAATAGTTCTTGTTATTGTTGTTGTTGTTGCTAATGCTCATTTCTCTGACGTATAGTCAGCCCAAACCCACGAAATTTCTCGTGGCAAGAAGCGCAAGTTTACGCCTGTCGTTGGCAACAGCCTTAAGGACCCCACAGGCGACCTCAGTTTACCTCAGTTCCGCCCCCATTTTGATGGAAAGCACCCCAGGAGGGGACATGTCAGAGGGTCTCCCATCCCTCTTTCCCTACCACCAGCTTCTTGAGAGGATTTTCGGTTCGCCGCCTATTTAGAGTGACCCCATGCTGCACGGAAGCTACACATTTACAAACATCCGTGCCTTAGGGATTCGAACCCGGGCTCTTCGGCACGGCAGTCAGCGGCGCTAACCACTATACCGGTTGGGCAGCAAACAATTCTTGGAGTGGATGGAAGTGTATAAGCTGATAAGCACAACTCAAATCTGCGCTATTGGATAAAGGAACTTATATTTTTTTAAATAGTCATGTCACCAAAATACATATATACATACACACCAAATACATACATACGTCACAATTTTGTAGATGACTTGAAGCGTTAGACGATGGCGCAGGTCCATAAGGTGACATAATAACGAAGAACTTACCCCGATTTCGCGTTGTTTCAACACAGATTATTTTTCGCAATTAAAGAGGGCCACATGTTATTATGGGCACGATATGCGCGCGCACAATTTTGAAAGCTTACATTCTCAGATGATGGAGACACAGCGCGGCGGCAAGCACGTGTCTAAGCAGCAGCGAGCGGAGTAGAAAAAAGAGCTACGCAAAAAAAAAAAAAAAAAAAAAGTAACAGATAGTAACATATTTAAAGACTATATTTCTTAAATTTTGAGCTCTGCGACTGGATGAGAGCCATCTACAAAAGAAGGAGGATAAGATGACATAAACTGGATTAGTTTTCAGATATGACGGAGTTTAAATTCCAAGAAGAGGACATAGCTAAATCAAAGCTAGTAATTTTGAGTTTGTTGTTGTTGTTGTAGTTGTCTTGTCCATATAACATGGAATAATGTTTGCCAAAGCCTACTCCGAAGAGAGGTCATTTTGAATTTAATATATATATATATACATATGTATGTATGTATTTTATTATAAATGAGTACTGAAAAAATGTAGGCTTCAATTTAATTTTTTTTAAGAATATTTACACAAACTAAATATATAAACATGTATAAAACAATTGGTTTCGACATACCTGCTGATTCTTTTCAGTTTCGATTTTAATTCTTGATTCAATGCATTCCCTTCTATCTAAAAATGCTCTTCTGCTCATGATTTCGATGAGGTATCGAATGAATAAGCCAACAGAAAGAGTCGTGGCGTAAAACACAGCATCAGCACACAACTGAAAAGAGCAGTAAATTTATAATACCAGAATCTTTTAAGCAATAAATTAAAGAGCAATTATCTAATATTTATAATGTGATAGTCTTTGTATAATAAGGAACTATTATGCTGCATTGACTTTGAACTTAATCAAAATTATTAATAAATTTTGATTAAGTTCATTATACCTATTTAAAAAAATTAAGAGAGAACTGTTATTATAACTACCACTTAGTATCTATTGTCTTCAGATGCAATTAAACTGGATGCTTACGTGTTAACTCATTCGTCTTGGTAGGAATCGCCACATTTTCTGAAAGTGCCAAACTCACAACATACTCATAACAATCCTTTAGTCAAAAAACATCGTCATTTCCGTATGCCTTCTTTATGTTGTATTTCAAGTTCCAACGGTTTTTTTCGGCGGTTAAATAAAAAGTGGTATTTTACCTTAAAATTAATTTTAAAATAAGCGCTTGTAGAATTTTCCAGCAATGGAAGAGACTGCGGTAAAATTTCAAAAGGAATATAGATTTTTGCCCCACAATTTATTAAGGGAACAACGAGGAAATGCATTTGGTAAAGAGGCAGTCTTATCGAGGTTCGCGCGATGCCTTGTATCTGCAATTTTCTAATGTTTTTGAAGCAAAACTAAATCGTTGTGTACTTGGGGAGAAGAATAGCTCAAAAAAATTACAAAAAGGTTTAGAGAAAAATGTAAGCGTTTAATTTTGAAATGTATCACGTTATCTCTATATAATATTTAAAATTTTAGTTTAAATTGCTAAAATAAGCTTTCTTTTCATATGTTGGCAATGTTTTTCGATTTGTTTACGATAGTTATCGATAGTTTGAGAATAGTTTTATAAAACCAGCAAAAACCAGCTACCTGCACTCGATAAGAAACGTTTACCTTTTCATTTGTAAAAAGTTGCCAGATTGCGCCAAGGTGGTTGCGCTAATATACAAGTACTTTAAACTTGCCTATGTATTCAATAATATGATCAACTAGCTATCAGACCCTTCCCTATACATTCAGTAATTCAGCATCATGTAATTAGTACATATAGGGTGGCCCATGTAATGCATCCAGCCTCCGGCGATAATATGATAAGACTAAGGGGCTACAGTCTCCGATGCATGACACTGGTAATGAAAGTAGGTTACCTTTCCATAGGCATCCTGTGTAATCTGCATGTATCAACACAATAGTCTTTCTGGGCAAATTGCCCCTTTGGGCTCCCCCCCCCCAAATAGCATAAGAAAACATGACTGAAAGATTGTTATGAGCATGCTCGCCTAAAGAATGTTTATGCGCATGGTTGCCTGAAGAATAGTTATGCGCATAGTTGCCAGAATGTGGCACATTCTGAAATTTTGATCACTTCTACTAAGGTCATTGCGATAACATATGAGAACTGTATAATTTGAATGTAGACGAAATCCTACCGAGTTTAACACTTCCAAATACAGTAAATATTTTGTACCACACTTGATTTACCACACTTTAAAGATGTATAATAATTTGCTTAATTACTTTGTAAATTTTTATAAACAGGATTATACTTAAAAATTAAATCAAAAAAATAATTTTATGTTTGCGTAAATTTTGAATAAAATTCTATCGATTTTGAGGGTCACTAGAGCTAGGTCCATCTTTTTCAAAAGCAATCACGATTATGTTATAAAGGAATGAGGAGAGATATATATTTATATATAACACAATTAGAAATAAGCAGAAGATTCATTGAAATTTACATAGTCACACGCTAAAAGTTATCTTCTTAATTCAGCTTGAACGCTTTACATAACACACTACAATAAAGTTTCTTAAACTGCAGGGCACTATCCCAAATGTATTTGCAAAGCGAAATGTTGGGTCGTGAAAACTTAATTCAGATGCATGACTTTAAAAAAGTTACATTCATTATAATTTAGGAGAAATTATATTAAGGGACATTAATGAGATTAATCATCTCCCGAAAAAGAATTGAGTTATCAAGTGGCTCAAATATAAAAACTTGAATTTCCCCGAAAATTCCTTGATTAAATTCTGGGTTCGGAGCTGGAATGATGAATTTCTCAAAATCTTTAAAATGACATTCAATGTTATTCTGCCATTCAGAGTTTTATGAAAAGTGTTTATGAGAAGTGACTTTTTCAGCTTTAACGCTCGCAAAAACCCAAATGCCGTTCAACGTTGAAAAATGTTGAAGATATTTTGCGTCTAGTTATCTCAAATATTGAACCAAATATTGTATTGTTATATTTATTGTAACAGAAACAAAACTCTTTAATATTATTTTTAAAACATGAATGCGTCTCAACAAATAGCAATATACTTCTCTCATATTTCTAGCATAACTCATGTATGTTGCTTCATAATTTCGCTGCATTATCTGAAACGTCCCCCTCCACCTTGCATAATCAGTATTATCTTAAATCGCAATCCAAAAACCTTCAGATATCATTTTCAAAAACGTACTTAAATGCACTTATTTACATTGGCAGATTATTCACGGGAAAGAAATAACATAAAAGTGATTTTCAAATGGTCACTTTTAGATTTTCAGTTTTTGCAGCCATCAACTCCGTTCATCAGATTATGTGTATGCTTTGATTGAACTTTAATGAAAATAGTGCCGGAAAAAATTAAACGTGCAAAAATATTTCACATATGAATTCCACCATCTACCCTATTTCGAATATAAATCACTCGGAATTGAGCTAACCATGCCACACTGAGAGATGATATTCTTAAAAATTTGAAATTTTCGGTTCCTGTCATTTCTCAGTATACACTGACTACCAATAAGTATTTGGACACCTGTGATAGAAAAGAAAAACTAACTTTATTCAAAATCAATAGTTGGTAGAGCCTCCACGAGAGGTAATTACAGCGTGGATGACAGCTAGTGGTATTTTCTTCCACTCGGCTTGGAGAAGACATAGAAGTTCCTTCACCGATTTTGCACGGGTAGTGCACCCCTGAATTCGGCGATGCACTCGTCCCAGAGGTTCTCGATAGGGTTCAGGTCTGGACACTGGGCAGACCAGTCCATTGGATGAACTCCATTGGCACCATACCAAGCCTTGGTTAACGTCGAAACATGACAACTGGCATTGTCGTCCTGAAAGCAACAGGGGTCCAACCCGTAAAACTGCCACAACGTAGGAAGCACATTGTTATCCAAAATAGTGCAGTAGACATCGGAGTTGAGCTCACCATAAATGGGGACCAAGAGTCCCAGCTCATAACCAGGAGAAACACCCCCAGACAATAGTTCCACCTCCGCCGAACTTGACTGTTGGCACAATGCATTCTCGCAGGAGACGTTCTCCAGGTAGACGCCAGACCCAGACCTTGCCATCCGAATGGTAAAGGGTGAACCTTGATTCGTGTCTCCAAAGAACCCGTTTCCACTGATCTACGGTCCAATTTCGATGTGCTTTGCACCACATTAACCGAGCAGCGCGGTTGGACTTTGTGATCAAAGGCTTATGGGCAGCAGCACGACCATGAAAACCAAGCAGATGTGCTTCCTTACGAATGGTATTTATTGAAAGAATACTCCTGGATGCCTGTTGAAACTCCTCACGGATGAGGGCCATCGGTTGGGTGCGGTTCTTCCGAATTTCTCTGGACAGCACTCGTCGGTCTCTATCTCCCAGTTTCGTTGGTCTGCCGACTCGGGGCACATTCCGACAATCACCGCTCACCTTCCACTTCTTAATCACATAGGCCACTGTCGATTTTGGGTAGTTCAGATCGCTAGATATGTCCCTTAAGGATCGGCCACATTTGTGATACCCGATAATTATACCTTTCTCGAAATCAGAGAGCTCCAAACTGCGAGGCATTTTGCATGCGACTAAAGCCGATGCTGTTTCCTACACGATATATACCGGCGGAGTCCGTGACGTACCTTAGGACCGCAGATATCGTCATTTGCATAGGTGTCCAAATACTTATTGGTAGTCAGTGTAAATTGGCGTCATTTCCCATTGAAGCTAATATGAAATAGGAGAAAAAAAAAGAAAAAGAAATTAAGAAAAAAGAAAAGAAAATTATAGTGAAAGGAGTAATAAAAATCGCTAGTAAAAAATTCTCATGAATGCAATTATTTTCATTTTCATTGCCTTCTAAATACAGACATTAATAATTCGTAAAATTTACCATCGCACACTTAAAGCACATTTCTGAAACCGATAGAATAGGAATTCTAGAGAATAATTAATGACCAATTTATTTTACTGCATACATTAAAATACTTTAGTAATTTTTCCAATTTATGGAACAGTCTGCATTTCTGATTCGGAGAAAATCAAATTTTTAAACATATTTCGATAAAATCTTTTTCAAAAAGCATTAAAAAATGAGAAACAAAATTTCTAACTACAGCACAAAGAAAATACTGCGTTTACGAAAATAAATATGCATCCCTAAGATTCGTTACTATGCAACCATTGTTAATAAATGGTACCATTTTACTGAATCTCTTAAAAATTCTAACTTTTCCCTTCAGAAACATTTCTTCAAAATATTCAGTCAAATTCCATTCAAGTTCATTTCATTGTATCTTCAGCGAATAGAACCGTTTTATTCAAGGGCTGTATACACCACAATCGGTATTTTCAAAAGCTGTCTGTATGTGTATTGAGAAATTGAAATCATACCAATGCAATATCTAAGCGCATTACTTAGTTACTTAGTTTTAACACATATGGATCGATTTTCGCCCGCCAGTGGCCGGATAGAGAAAGTCATTGAAACATTGCCATTCTAGTCCGGAATTCTATTTCTGTTCTAAATGAGCTGATTGCGTGGACTTTTCGTGACTTTAATAGACAACTTAAAAAAAGACAAATAAAATGCATTAACGTAAGGTAGTTTTTGCAAAGTGAGCGCTTTTATAGCTTAAATAAACTAACTAATCGGCATTTTGTATAGTGGAACTTTTTGTTCACTTCAGTTTTACAATTAAATTAAGACTATAACCTTCTGACATTTTCCACTAC